TGTAGAGTTCATCTTTAGCCTATTTTGGTGATTTATATTAATTGGCTTTTAAAAAATGTTAAACCAGCCTTTCCTTCCTGGAATAAATCCAATTTAGCCATAATATACAGTATACATATATATATAAATGTTGGCTTCGGTTTGGCAATATTTTATTTTAAATTTTTGCATCTATAACCATGAGTAAGATAGGGTTAAATTCTTCTTTGTATATTAACTTTGTCTGGTTTTGGTATCATGGTTATCCTATGTCTTAGATCTTTGAAAATAGTAGAGGTATGTTCCCTTTTTGTCTGTTTCTTGAAAAAGTTTGGTTAAGTTTATCTGGTTTTTAACTTCACTTAGGACCAGTAAAGACTATCTGGTCCTTATGTTTTTGTTGTAGGAAGAATTTCTTAATACTACTCATTAAATTTCTTTAATGGTTATTAAATTATTCGGTTATTCTGAGTGAGTTTTGATAATGCAAACTTTAAAAAAAATTATCTCTTTTGCTTGCCTTTAAGTTAATTGGTATAAAGAGGTTAATAATATATAATCATATCTTTTAGATGTCTGCTACATCCATACCATCTACTTTTTTCTTAAATAGTGTTTATGTTTGCCTTTCTCTTTTAATTTCACCAAAGGTTTGCTTATTTTATTAATTCTTTCAAAGAACCAATGGATAGTGTCATTCAACTTCTATCTTGTTTCTATTTCATTAATTTCTGCTCTCTTTTTATGTCCTTTTCTTTCTTTGAGTTGATTCTGCTATTATTTTGATAAATTTGTAATTAGGATGCTTGTTTATTAATTTTAACCTTTCTCTTTTCCTTGTAACTTGTTTTTAATAGCTGCTTTCCTGAAACTATAGATTTTGATACATACTATCTTTCTTATTTTTTATTTCTAACATTTTCTTGTTTTCATTAAGATTTCTTTTTTTTTTTTTAGTTGGAGTCTCACTCTGTCGTCCAGACTGGAGTGCAGTGGCTGCTCCCGGCCACCGCAGCCTTGACCTGCTGGGCCCGGCGATCCTTTCGCCTCAGCCTTCCAAGTAGCCGGAACTACAGACGTGTGCTACCATGCCTGGCTAATTTTTTTGATTTATTGTAGAGATGAGGTCTCACCAAGTTGCCCAGGCGGGTCTCAAACTCACGGGCTCAGGCAGTCCACTCACCTCAGCCTCCCAAAGCGCAGGATTACAGGCTGAGCCACCAAGCCCGGCTAAGATTTCTTCTTTGACCACAGATTAGCCATGGGTTACTTAGAACTGTGTGTCTGGGTGGGTGTGTGTGTGTGTGTGTGTGTGTGTGTGTGTGTGTGTGTGTGCATATGCTTGCAGGTGTGTGGGCATGCACACATGTTCTCCAAAGCATAGGGCTTTTTTCAGTTACCTTTTTCTTAATGATTTCTAACTTGTGTTGTGTTCTGATTATTTCTAGAGATTGACTTTGTAGACTGGTCCATAATCAGTTTTCCTCAACGTATTTTCCAGTGGTTAGGTGCCGTGCCTTTTTTCTTAACTGTCTGTAGTCACTTATGCGACCCCTCTATTTGCCTGACTCCCACTCAGCTCAGACCTCCCTGATCACCTTTATCCTGATTGACACCCCCCACTCTTAAATGTCCTCATAACCTCTTGGCATGCTCCTATTATAGTGTTTGTCACAGTGTGTTGTGTTTGTTTACTGGTTTATCTCTCTTACAAGAAGAGAGACTAAGAGCTCTTTAAGGAAAAGGACTGATTGTTTTTAGACCAGGTATTTAAGTGACAGATCTACTATTTCTCTACTTCTCTACATGGTAGCTTATAGTCACTCTTCAAAATCTAGTTCAAAGACTATTTCTGGTGTGAGGAGTCAGCTTGTTCCAGACATCACACTTGGAAAACAACTGAAGTGAGCTGTTTCCACTTGCCCCACACCAGCCAGTTGAAAATGGAATCAGTAGCATGTTTGCCACCCCATGTACCTGGTTAGCCTGGACCCAGTCGCTTTTTGGTGCTCCCTGGCAATACTGCCTTTGGTTTCCCCAACCCGTCCTAATGTCTTCAGCTTTAGAGCCAAGGTTTTTTTTTCCCCAGCCAGTTTAGTTTGCTTCCCCTTCTAGCCTTCTTCCTCAATTCCATTGTTTCTTTGAGAATTAGCCTTTCACCCTAATTCTGTTTAGGTCCATTTACTCCAACCTCCAAACTCCTCCCCTTCCTCTGACCCTTTGACCCGGTTAGATCTGGGGCCTCTCTCCCTTGGCAAGATTTCGCTGCCCTAGAGCATTCATACTTCTTACTTTTGCAGAGCTGAGCTCCCATCTGTATAACCGCAACCCGGAGTCTCTAGCTTGCTGGTTTTCTCGTCCTGTCCTTGTTGCTGCTCAGCAGAAGGGTCAAGGACCCAGGCCCTCCACTCTGTATCACAGCATCTCGAGCCCCTTGACACTCCCCTCACCTGTCTTCTTCAGCTCTCTCTTTGTAGCTGCGTTCTCTCTGCAGAAGGTTTCTGTTCTTTTCAGCTGTGTCCCCACACTCTGGTCCCAGTCTAGGGCCCTCCTTCTCATGCCTACAGCCCCATCTTCCTATATCTATATTGCAAGGGACACTAGGACAAGCTGTTCTTTTGATCTATTGCACTTCTCTTGCTCCCAGTCAGGCTGATGATGCCTCCCTCAAGGCTATCAAGGCTTTGGGAGAAGAGGGGTTTTGTTTTGGGGGGAGAAAAATGTTAAGCTATGCTCAAGTTACTAATCGGTTAAAAGCTTATAACAATGTACAAAACATTTACTTTACCACAAACTGACTGTTACATTACTTTTTGATGAATCATAAGGCACTTTAAGTGACTAAAATGCCTTTTGTCATTATGCATATTATTATGGGTAATTGGAAATGCAAAAAAAAATGAGATGTTTCTGGTTGATAGCGTGATGGATATATCAGCTTTCTAGTAGATAAAGTAGGAAACGTCTTCTAAATGCTCCATGAAAATCAGACAGGCCTTTACAGCCTATATTTCAGGTTGTTAATGGTGCTAAAAACTTCTGATGTACGAAACTACTTAGTGGAGTATAATTATGAAAGCACAATTAATAGTTTAAAAGCATTAGTATGAAAATTATTTTGTTCTATATGGAAGACTTGTGCATATAATTAATCTTTTCCTCAATATGCACTTAATTTGATCCTAAACCTAAGGAGTACCATCTCTATGTATCCTATCAATTATTGCCCTACTAAAAAGATCCTCAAGTCTGCTATACCCAGCTATATTTGTATTTTATCTAGCGTAAGACTATAGTATTTTTTTGAAGCTTAAATATATGTCACAGACATAAAATGAATTTGCAGCAACATTCCAAAACAGGAAAACCATTTATGTTTTCATAAAATACAACTGATTCATGAAGAAAGAAGGGTCTTTGTCTTTGAAAATTACTTTTAGGGTCCAATCACCATTATCATCACTTCTCTAAACAAATGGTTCAATGTAGGCTGCAATCAAATGCTACCTAATTTTTTTATCCATCAAGGCTTAATGGAAAGAAGGAAGATGAAAAGGGAACATAAATTCAAAATCTTTCTTCATGGGCTAATGGCCTGTTATTCAGTCTACTTTCTACATGCAGAAAGCTTTCATTAAGACACTATTAAGGATGACATTAAAACTTCTGAGCTGTTCTTCTGGGCTATAAGTTTTGTCCCACATAACAAATTTTACTTGAGTTCCTTCAGATCTAATAACTGTATCTGTAAATATCTGTTGTGTTCATTATATCCTGCTATAGGGGTATAATGGCAGTATAAAAAAAGTTTCTTAGTTTGAAAAAATTTCTTCAAAGTATAAAATTTGATGAATTGTAAAAAAAAAGAGGCAGGAGACAGGAAAGGATTTTAATTACTCCTTTAATGCCTATATTGAAGTTCTAGGGGACAGACCCTCTATTTGGCACAAGAGTAAATATGCCCAGGAGTTTCTGTCAACACCATGGCCTTCCATTCATTGGAATGTGTGATCTCCAGGCAGACTTAGGTCATCTTCTGAAAGATGCAGCTCATCTTCTGAAAGATGCAGCTGTAACACTTCTCTTCATTCTAAACTGTTTCCCTTGGAAAGAGGTTGGGGCCCTAGCCTCTCTCAGTCTCAACTTTTTTTCATTATAGTACATTGAGGAAGTAGCGTAAATCTTCACCCTCATTGGTAGTGAAGGTTGGTTCCCAGAACTTTCCATCCAAACTAGACATCCATTCACATTTAAAGTTTCTTTTATTAGGAAACTGCTTAGGGTATTGTTGGAAAGTGCAGAATTCTTTGTTTATGAATTGGTAAATGAAGTTTCCAAACGGGCAAGGAGGCATGAAATTTGGGGCTCTGTCCCCTAACCCTTTCCTATCGACTTTGCTCTTGTCCTCATATCCCACGCCGTCTCTGGCTCACTTTGGACATTACTCCATGAGCAGTCCTAGTGGTGGGCCAAGAGTATATGAGAAGCTACTTCCAGAAGATCATTGGCTGAGGTTGAAACTCCATTCTGCCCTGGGGTCCTTTGCTGATCCTGTGGATTCTTGGCCTTTGTGTCCTGATCTTTTGTTCTACTGTCTCCTTACCTTGGTGGATCTCTCTGGTGTCTTGGTTGCCTGTCCTATTCATCTTAGAGATGATCTGTGTTCTATATCTCCCAGGCCCTGCTTCACCGCTCACAGGCCTGCTGTATCCTGTTGCCACTCAAGTCCAGAGGAAAAGGACATCTAAATCCTAACTGCTGTTGCACTACTAGATAACTGTGGTTTCAGACAAGTGACTGAAACTACCCTGACTCACCCTCTTTTTCTGTGACACCATGGGTTGTACTGGAGCTCATCTGTAGAGTCTCTTAGAATTTGAGAATTTTAGGAATCATGGGGTCTCTCCTGCCTCTCTACCTGTCCATCTTTTATCTGACTCTGTTTCAAGCAAATAGCCTTGAGTGGGAAGGACTGTGACATGCAGGTAGAATTCCATCACCCATTTAAAAATAAAAAATCATCAGGATAATAACATTTTCTCTTTATTGGTACCACACTGTATAGTCAGTTTACAGAGTGTGTAAGGCAGTATGTTCAGTCTTGTTTTATGCCTGTGTAGCTGTATTTCCAGCATTTGAAGGTAGCTCTTCCACATAAGCCGCAGGAAAATGGCCTTTTTTCCCATTTAAAGATCCAAACCACCATCCTTCTTCTTTTTTCTCATGTATAACCACAATGTCACCTGTGAAAATACACATTTAGTTAGACAAATGGGTCTCTGCAATTAGAACACATGCTGAGCCTGATTGATAAGAGTTTTAAGGAGATTCTGCTTTTAAGGTGTTACTTGGTAGCGTTGTTACTTGGTAGTGTTGTTCCTGACCTCAGAATGTATTGAACACCACTGTATGAAGCAGGCTTAATCCAGAGAATACTAAAATGAGTAAGATAATGAACAACTGAGTTATGCCATAAAATAGTTTGCTTAAAAAGAGAATCACATTGGATTATGAGCATATGTCCTCATGCTGCTTGGCTCACTTTGTATATAGCTGGCGAGTTGTTACCAAATTCCTTCTCGGTGTCTGTACTTTAAGGGTTTCCCATGTTGGTGACCATGATAGTTTGGTGTGTTGACTGCTGTGTGGATATCTCACCTGACAGTCTTTTCTTAAGATCAAGATAGTTCCTTTCCATTATACCTGACTTCACAGTCCAAAATTCTAACTCACAGCTTTGCACAGGAATGTAACTCAACATTCAACAATTTAGATAACTTTAATACAACATCAATTTGGAAACAATACTTTTTTAAGCAATGAGTCAAATAAATAGAATTTCTAAGAAACATGGCACTTGTTTAGTTCTCTATTGAGTTTTAAGAGAATATTCTGACATTAAAAACCTTAAAGCTTAACCTGGTGCCCCAAGTCCTTTGACTAAGCCCCTCTCTTGAGAGAGAGGCCTTTGTTTCTGGCTGCTTTGTGTCCATCAAAGTAGAAACATCTGCTTCCTTCAGGACCCAAGAGCAACTTTTTCTTTAATATTATTCTGAGGTAATTTTTCAACCTTTTCTTTCACCTTTTTTCTGTAGCAATTTCTAAGGCAAAGAAAACTATTAATCCCCTTTCTATTTTTTCCTAGTTATAAATTCCTGTTATTCTTGTAGCAAATCATTTTCTAAGTTTTCCCTCTAATGGATTCTCTCAGGTCAGTAGATTGCTTGACATAATCTATTAACAGAAATTCAAATAAATGATTTAAAATTGTATTGCCAGCTTCCCTAAGCCTCCAGTGTCATGTTTCATTTAAAGAAACTACTTAGAATATAAAGTATAAGTAGGCTTTGCAACCAACAGAGAACTGAAAACATACAAGATAATCAATTTATTGTGAACTATGTAACTCAAGTGCAGGACCTGTCGGTTTTAGGTGGCATCTGGGAAATGTGGTTTTTATTCATATAGGAGAAATAATTGCCTGGAGAAATATGACTGGCACACTAAAAAGGAAATACCCAATAAACAAAAGCAAATATGTGGTTTGGCTGCAAAATCTACCTTGCTTTTCCTGTGGCTCTGGGAGCTATGAACTGGTTGTGGGGCTTTCTTCCATGACATAACTCTTTCTCACTAACCCTTCCATTTCCAGATCTCTGCCTTAGCGTTAATATCCAGATGTGGTTGCTGACTGGACACATAAAGAAGATTGAGGCTGGAGACTTTTTCTTGTTTTAATAATGTTGAGGTTTATATCATTTATTTAATATCTTTCCATGTTAAGTAAAAACCTGGGTCACAAAGAAGTGGGTCTCATTCTTTAGACTGACCATAAAAGATTTCCTGAGAGGTGAGACAAACATTAAGCTAACCCAGGTTTTAGAACTTACATTAAATCAGGAGAGAAAGTCATTTCACATTCCTGCATGACTAGCTTCTGAAAAATAAAAAGGTGAGTCTATATCTCTAATGACTGTCACTGACATTCTACCAGCACAGCACCGTAATTAGGGGCGTGACTGAGTTTCTGAGTCCAAATCCTGTTCTGCCACTACCTGTGATTTCAGTTTCCCCCTCTGCCTCAGTCTCCTCAGCTATAAAGTGAGACTAAATAACAATACCTATCTCAGAGTTGTATGAATGTTAAATTGGATAATATGCCCGCAACAATGTCTGGCACACAGTAAACACAGAACAAGTGTTAGCTATTGTCATTATGCAAGCTTTAGTTTTGATGTGCTTTATCCTTACCTTCTAAGAAGGGTAATTCTAAATGTGCACAGATTTGATATGACAGTATCTTAAGACAAGGTTTATTCACATGGGAAGATTCTCAACATGAGAAGGCAATTCAAATATTTGAGAATGATTCTTACCTTTTTCCAAATTCAACTCGTCATCTTGCCTGGCTTTAAAAGAATATAAGACTTTGCAAAGACTCTTGCTGAGCTGGGCCACACCAGAAGCTGAAAGTTGGATTAAGTTGATATTACTGAGCTATGTTAGTCAACAAGATAAGTATGATCAGAAACTTTTTGGTTATTTCACAGTGTGATGCAGAGTTTAAATGTATTGACATTAGCTACTGTAGTATTACTAGTAATAAAGCTGATGATATTGTTTCCCACCAGAGCTTAGCCAACATCAGTTAGATAATATGTGTGGTAATTGCATGCCTGCTTTGGAAAACATCTACCAGTTTTGCCATTAAAGTGCAGATAAGGGATATTGAAAGCACATGTATATTATCATTGTCCCTAGGTGTGTATAGAACTGTCTCAAACAATGCAATGATGACTCTTTAATGTATTGTATGAACCATAATATCCTGGTTTCATTGAAACTCTTTTTTTTTGCCATTTTTAAATTAAAAAACTAGAAAGTTTCGATTATGGTAATTATAGCTGAACAAACAGGGATAATGGTGTGTGTGTGTGTGTGTGTGTGTGTGTGTGTGTGTGTGTATGTGTGTATGTTGAAAGGTGAAGGGCAGTGGGGTGTGGAAGCATGAATAACAGAACTCAGATGGCTGAATGAGGGAATTTGTAGGCCATGAGTTCCAAGCCCAAGCCACCTAATCACCATGTTTCTTGCAAAGAGGACAAGTTTTCCATGGAGGAGGCTGTGGAGACAGAGCTGCAAAGCTCCTCACAATGGTTTAGGGTTGATTGTGTGGATGGCAAATTGCAGGCCATTTGAATAAAAAGTGGATGCCAGTCATCTGATATCTGAGGTAACTTCTCATGCTGTAAAATACTTTTCCAACCCTCTATCTAGTCTTCTTGACTCCTTCCCACCGTTGATATTACATTTGTACATAAAACTACAGATTCTAACAAATTAATCAGTCCCAACAGAAATATATATTTATTTAAACAGATAAAGATCGATGTGGCTCTGAAAATAAACTTTAAATGTAGCAATGTGCCTTACCACTAGGGCCCAAAATTATTCTAGGCATAGGATTACCTGAAGATGAAGAACCTGGATCACTCTGCCCACCAGAAGATGCTCTGCTCACAACATTCTCCAATCTCTTCATCAGAAAAGGCCGAGATACTTTTACATAACTATGAGTATGTTCCTGTTCAAATAGTTTTTTAAAAAAAGGTCCTTTTCAATAACACTATTATCATACGTATTCATGAAAACTCTTCTGTGGCTGTTTTCCTCAGGAATTTGTTTTAAATGGGGAAAGTATAAAAACATTCAACACATTTCTAAGCCCTACTATGTTTTAGCTTTGAGCCAAAGCCTTCCTATTTTGAGTATTAGACAAGACTGTATTTTATAGCTTTGAGCCAAAGCCTTCCTATTTTGAGTAGTAGACAAGACTGGTTCCAATTCTGATTTGTATTTCTAGGCCACACCATAACATTAATAGCTTCTAAAAATTCAACTTTAATTGGTTTAGTGCAAGTGAAATGATCACAACTGTCTAAATGATTGTTACCATTTTACAGCTCTTTTTTTTCCTATTTTGATTTAGAGGGTACTTACCTCTCGACCTAGCAATCTCACTACTGGGTATATAATCAAAGGAGTACAAATTACTCTATTAAAAAAAAAACAAAACCATGTTCACACGCATATTTATAACAGCACAATCCACAATAGCGTTTTAGAGCTCTTGAGCCTCTTAGAAAACTGTCCATCACCAGATGGTTACAGCTCCCCCTTCTGGTCAGTAATGGAAAACAGCTACAAGCAGTAGCAACCCAGTGTATTGATCTGCTCATCATCAGTTCCTGACAGTGCCAACTCTGGGAACATGTGTGAATCTTTAAAGCTGTACTTGTGCATCATGTACATCATGCACTGTGTTACCCAGAGGAGACAAATGCATATCACAAAATCTTATAATTTAGGTCTGTAAGAATACTAAATTTTCAGTCTAATAGAAAAATTAAATATAAGAGCATGTTCAAAGGATAAAGTTAAGGTATGAGGAGGAAGAAGAGACTCAGAGTGTTAACTCCTCATTGTAATTAGTCTAGAAAGACTGTATTGAGTTGTGACTAGCTCTTGTTATTGTGTTCAAGAGGAATAAGAAGAAACTTATCTTAAAATTCTGCAATTAGGACTTGGAATGTATGACCGACATAATTTTAACAGCTTTTTTTTTTTCCCCTTATGCTACTTTAAACCACTGCAGCCAGCAGGGCCAATCAAGAAATGACAACCAATCGCTTCAAGTGTTACCTTTTCCTTCCACTTGAAGATGGAGGTACTACAGGGGTGGCTGGGTTTAGGTCTTTGCTCAAGTTCTGCTAACACTGATGACAGTTTATAGGAGTTCGCTTCCAGTAGGTCCAGTTTCAAATTGTTCTGTGGATACATCATTTGGCCATGTGAGTAAATTTCTAAAAAATGAGACACAACTGGATAGGTACAGAATGTCAGGATAACATTCAAAGTGACAAAGGGGTTAGGAAAGCACACATTCAGCTCACAGATTTGCACAGAAAATGCTGGAAAGAAAAGCCTTTTAGCAGTCTAGAGGAATGTTTTAGTCGGTAAATGTGTCTTATTCTGTACTCTTGTAAACATAAAAACCTTAGTATTTATGTTACTCAGTATTTTTGTGGAAATGAATGGCTTTACTCAATTTTCTGCTGAGGAAAGAGAAGGAGAATAATAAGTGTTGATTGCAGAAGTTAGACTTAAGGTGGGAGGAAGGGCAGTTGAGCCACAGGTGCCCAATATTGTGAACAGAATTCACTTCACATCAATAGCATTAAACTAAAATGAATGTGAGGTTTGTACTCTCTTTGACGGGGTGGAGTCTTATATTACCCAGAAAGTTTGCCGTAACACTTCAGGAGACAATATTCTAGAATGTTTGAATATAGAAATAATGAGTAAAGCTAAACTCCTTGCCTCTTCCTGTTCTTGATTTGACCTTGAACCAGAAACTTTATAATTACTTCTTTGTCAAGTGTGTTCAGTCAGGGTAAATCAAATAACAGAATCTAAACACTGGAAGGGTCCAGCTTACCCAAGCCCCTCTCTTCTCCACACTGCCAGCATGGGGATTCCTCACCCTAGCATCCCTGCCAGGGGACCACAGCCATGGACAGAACACCTCCAACCGGTGAAAGAGTCTTTAATCCTTGGAGCAATTCACTGCACTTGGGGGCAGGCTTACCTAAGATGAGACTGAGAGCTCCCCTACACCTTCTGTCATTGGACCCAGTCTTCATTTGATATATCATAGGGCAAGTCTAGTTCCTCTTACATGTGGTACTCCTTGTAGTCTCTGAAGACAATATCTAGTCTAAGTACCTACAGTTTTCACTACAATTCCTCATATGACATCCCTTGTGATTCAAAATTTGGCACTTCAAGGGCCAAGAGGCAATGAAATTGGGAAGAATTTAAACAAAACAGACTTTCTTCTTCCAATAAATCTTCTCTGGATAACAAAAAATCTACCAATATCACTAGTTTCCCTCTACTCAGATGCAGAACAAGTGTTACAAAGTTACACGGTAATTTGGCATCCATTATTTGAAGGTTAATACTCGCCCCTGCACTAGATCATAAACACTGGCTCTTGGGAGTCAGATCTTCTTCCTTCTTGCATCTTCTACTCTGTGCACCAGGCTAGTTGTGCACCCAGATGATCCTAACACATGCTCTATGCTGGTAATGACAATGACAAAATTCTGTGCAAGAACAACCAAAGAAGTAAACTTCTAACTCAATGGCATCACAAAATACTCTATGACTTTATTTTGGTAAATATGATTTGCTGTAAATATTTCATGCTGCCACAGAAAATGTCCCACAGTCTGTTTTATAATTTCAGAAAAATTATAACCATGCATCATTGTGAGCTTGTTAGTCCTCTGTTCCCAAGTGAACAGAATAAGGGTCTTTTCACATGAAGTGTTAGGTTTGCTTCTGCAACAGCACTCCCCACTAAAGGAAGCCTACAATAAAACATAGGTTAACTTAATCTGACTGCATCTATCTATTTTCACCAAAGAACTATTGAAATTGCCAGTTTGGGCAGAATGATTTGGTGCCTACATTCACAAGAGAGGCAGGATATATGCAAGGTAAAGAAAGTTGGCTTAGATTCCTGTATCCTCCAAAACACTGCTGAAACATTTATCTCTTTCTGAATTCTTCTCAGATTAAGTCGAGTCCACTTCTGGTCACTCTAATCACAGCAGAAACCCACATCTCTAAATAAGTAATATGTATTGTTTGTTTTATTCCTTTATAACATCAAGGATCTTTTGTTCACTGCCCTTTGAATGTGGTTTCCTCCAAAACGGCCAAAACATCCATGAGTCCCCACCAGTGTCTGTGAAGCCTCTGGAGTCCAGGTGCTCAGCACAAAGACCAGGAGGCCCACCTCCCTGCCCCTCTGGGCTTACTCCCCGCTCCTCCCCTACCCCAAAGAACCAGGCCTACAAAAATCACTCCTTGTTTTCTCAGAAGCTTTGGCCTCACACCCCAGACTGCTCTCTTCCTTCTGTGCGAACACATCTTTCCTTTCCCCTGTTATTCTCCAAGGACTCTGATATCAGCTGAGGGATAGATGGAAAAAGGCATCTTAGTAAAAATTACTTACTTTTAATTAAACTCCTCCTCTGAGCACTATGCTAGCATTTCCTAAACAAGATTTCATCCTCACAAAGCCTTATGAGGTAAGGCACCAATATCTCCATTTTACTAATGAGAAAACTGAAGTAGCCCCAGGTTCTTGTAAACAGCAGAGCTAAATCCAAATACAGGCCTTTCTGAATCAGGTCCTCCATTTTTGGTCACTTTTTTAACAGAGTTAAAGTACACATGGTTTCCAGGCCCTTAACGAATGACTCTATTTTAGAAACTACTATTTTAGACACAATTCTCTTCCTAGGAGAACATTAAAGCAAACATTTCCAGGTAGTAGGATTTTTCCAGATCCCTCAAACTACTTATGAAGGCGCTGACCTTCTATGCTCCACCACTAGATTGTTCTATGTCATGTGAAAAGAAAGGCAAACAGGCCAAATGGGCCAGAATAAGTATTCTAAAAATAACCCTTTCATCACTAAATCTAGGAAGCTGTACTCTGCAAATATTTACCTCATCCATTAACACTGCTGTGTCTTTCTGGCTCTTTGCATCGGAGAAGGAGGAGTTGCTGGAGTATGTATTAAGCACTCGTTCCAAGCCTGAAAATGAAATCATGCTCTCAGTCACCTTCCATCCTGTCCTAGGAGACACAGCTAGGAGTCACTCACCCTCAGGGGGAGCCTGAACCTCTAAGAGAGACCAGTAGGATTTCCTAAATGGAAGTTTCTATGGGCGATTGCTACTAAATTTCACTGAATGAATAATGATAAATGAATTGACTATTCATTTCTCTTTATCTGCATTTAGTGAAACTTGAGAAATGTTGGAGCTTAAAGTCTCCTGGTTATTATTTTTCAAGATAAGATTTTGAATTTCTTTTGATTGACCTAGTCCAGCAATTGCTAACGTTTGCACAACATCAGCCTCTTCCTCATAATGTTTTTTATGTCACCAAACATTTTTTATCTTGGATCTCCTTTCCTGCGTTAGGTTGCAATGAGTTACTATGGTCCCCATAAGGCAAGCTACTGTTTACACATCAGAATCCCAAGTGTGAAGTCATTTTTATCATCTTCATTGCTTTAGAGCTGCTTTGCATTCTAACATGCCTAATTTCCAAGTATGGGATTTAATTTGGTTTTTATATCATGTCAAAAGTTAGTAAGCAAACAAACAAACAAAAACTCCAAAAGTCTGATGCATAGGTTTACCATGTTTTAAACCAAACAAATTGTTTCTCATTCCAGTCAATCCAAAAACACAGCAAAATGCTGTTTTCTGAAAATGGTAGCATGGTGTTTACATAGGTTTCAAAAATAGAACATATGTCATCTTCTATTTGTTTGCTCTCTTTTCTTCTTTTTAACTTTTCCTTATTCACACAATTTAGGTTTGATGTATGGTTGCTTAAATGAGATAAATCCTGCCCAAGTCAGCAAAAGCAGATTAATCCTAACTCTGAATGAAACCTCTGAGTATACGTTCTCTTATCCAGCCATTCAAAGAGATAAATACACACCTTCCTTGTCTCTTGAGGCTTTTTCAATGTCTCTTTTCAATCTCAACAATTTTGGTTTTATTAAAGACTTTCGTCTCTCTTTATCCATAGCATTGTTAGGATCTTCTTCCTTTAGGAAAAAAAAGAATGCTTAACAACTTAAGGGGATAAAAGTAAGAGTGGCTACTCCCAGTTATGCTGAAACTTTGATTGACTGCATTTAATTTTAACTTTGCACACACAAAAAAAGTAAAAAAAGTAAAAGCAAGCTAATCTTTAGTTTTATACATATTGTTCCACCTGTTTTAGACTTGATTAATAAGAAAACAGGCCCAGGTGTTGTGGCTCTTGCTTGTAGTTCCAGCTACTCAGGAGGCTGAGGTAGGAAGATCACTTGAGCCCAAGAGTTTGAATCTAGCCTGGGCAACATAGCAAGACCCTATCTCCTTAAAAGAAAAACAAACTTGTTCACATCTTGTAAGCACATGGCTGACCACTTTCTTTAATAGAATAAATTATTCTTTGAGGATTAACCATACTAGAATTATTTAAGTTTCTTGAAAAAATCTCTTGGTTGTGTGAGTATTGTTCCCTATTTGTCTTTATTCAAGTTGGAGTCCTAGAATGGTCCAAATATAACATGATACATGTACCTGGGGCTATGACTGCCTCAGGAGTGGAGGACATTTTTATTAAGTTCTGTGTTGGCACAATCTTGGGAACACATGAGCCAAAATACATATGCTCTGCCCAGAATGAGTTAATGATTTAGTCAGACCTTGAATCATAAAATTAAGAAAACTAGTGGCTGGGTGCAGTGGCTCATGCCTGTAATCCCAGCACTTCGGGAGGCCAAGGAGGGAGAATTGCTTGAGTCCAGCAGTTTGAGACCAGTCTGGGCAGCATATCGAGAACCTGTCTATACAAAAAATCAGCCCGGCACGGTGGCATGTACCACTAGACCCAGCTACTTGGGAGCCTGAGGCAGAAGAATCATCTGAGCCCAGGAGGTCAAGACTGCTTTGAGCCATGGTTGTGCCACTACACTGCAGTCTGGGCAACGGAGTGAGACCTCAACTCAAAAACAAAGAACAAAGAAAAGAAAAAACTAGCAATGTAAGACTGCAGGTATTCACAAATGATGCAGACACCAAGAGTAGAGGCAGCTGAAGCTTCAAGGAGGCAAGAAGACCTAGTTGTTCAGTCAAAGTGGAAGGAGGGCAAAGAGCACCCCAGGCAGAAGAAATGGAGTGACCAAGGGCAGAGGGAAAACTACATGAAATGCACTGGGAACAATCAATAGACTAATCACTTAGGCAAAAAGAGTGGAAGAAAAAGTTGTTTAGGGAGTTTAGGTTAGATTTGGGGGCTGAAGTAGGAATTTTATCACGTAGGCTGTGAGGAACCATCAATGATACCTGAGCTTTCACATGCATATATTTCAAGGGTTAAATGGAAGAAACATTAGGATGATTGGGTTGGGGTCAGAGGTGACTGAACAGGAATGTGGCAGAGGGACAGAAACACCTGGAAAAGGAGGGAAAACAAATGATGCAAGGTGGTAGAGGAAGAATGAGGTTTCTCTGATAAGAGAGGAGAAAAACTAGGGTCTTGAATACCGGTGGAGAGATTAGCTGCAGATTGATCTTCACAAAGAGGGAGCAGTGTGAGGCTTTAGAGCAGAGGGAATAGCCTCTACAAAAATATAACATAGAGATAAAAATATTTTGTTTACATATGTGCATTGTACATTATAAAAGGTTTTTAAAGTATTCTTTATTACATGCAATTCTTACAATAACTCAGTGAGGTTCGTTTTATTTTCCCCATCTTACCTGTAACACAGAGAAATAATTGAAGGCCCATGCTGAAACAGCTAGTAAGGGTTTGCCCCTGAAAACCAACTACTCTGACCCCAAATTTTCTACCACATCTTCACGTACATGTCTGCCCATAGGTGAGGCCCAGCTGACTTCACTGCCCCAACCCTGCCAGGTGAACTCTGACTAAACTGCAAAGATGTCTAACTATAACCCTAAGGCTTTCCTTGTTGGAAAAATGAAAATTATAACATCTCTCCCATTTCAGTCTAATACCACTTGGTTTGTTTGGGGACACCTATTGTTCATACATGTATCTCCAGGGATAGATCACGCCTGGATTATTAATGAGGATGGGATATGTTATTGTCATTGACATTTCTCAAAATGGCTCTTCCCTTTCATATATTTGCTAGAAAAAAGGTCAGTCTTGGAGGAGGCATATAAAACTACAGATGTAATCTTTTGAACATGACATTTATAGTAACCTTACAAATTTTTTCATACTGGTCACTGGCCTCCAGTATTTGCATCCAGACTGGTCTCCTGACTTATCCTGGTTCATGTAAATTTCAGCACAATGGATAAAAGCCAGTCTATACCTTAATACCAACTATAAAGTCAGACATTAGGGGAATGTTTCTTTAAAGATGTCATGAAAATCCACTCATTTTGAGATACAGTTCTTTCTCTTAGACAACAAATATGTGGTTGTGAGTTCTGATGCACTAAAGTTTCAAAGAAATCAAGCAAGTCCATGAGTATGTCAGTTAAAGATAGATCATTGTGGCTGTCTTTTTACATTTCAGTAGATCACTAGTCAAATTTTCCAGGAGAGTGACCCTTATTTTATTGACAGTTTATTCAATAGGGACACTTTTATTATCCTTTTTAAGAAAGTTGAAAATTTATTTTATTGTACATTTTCCATCTCAGCTCTCACCTACAGTATTTGGAAGAAAAAAGAGAGAGAAAAAGTATTTTCCCATGTAATCAAATCTTCCTTTCTGTTCCCATCTCTACCTTTGTTTCTGCTTTGAACAGGCATTGCTATTACTAATATACTTTGCCTTTGTCAAGATAGGAAAAAAAATTAAAGGTAATAGTTGGCCATTTCCTGCTATTTGAAGGGTAGGGAAGGGAAAAGCTATGCCTGATCTAACCAACTCTCCTTTTTCCTCTCATCTCTAGTTCCCCCGAGCAGAGAGTCTGAGGATGTCAGCTTCAGCTGCCCATTTAATCCTACAGGAGGACATGAGCAGTGGGCTGATTCTACATATCAGAGAGGAATAATACCACCAATCTGGAGTTTGAAATTCTCAATAAAATATAGCAGAAGGCCTAGGGAAGAGTTACCAGAAATGCTTTCTGCAGTATCTGGTAAATAATGATCAGCTCCTAGAACACTACAATAAGAATATTAAGAGCAGAGCAGAGGCCAAAATCTTTGATGCATGACCCAAGAGGACAAATAATTTCCCCCAAGATAGCAAAGAGGTCACATGCCTGGGCTCTGACAAAGGACACTCATGAGTTTTCAGCAAGGAAGTTCATTCCATGGTTGAATCACCCAAATGTCCTCAAAATAAGCCTTAGATAATTTGGTCCAATTTTCAAGAGAAGGAATCAAGAAAGATGCTGATAATGATTCCCACCTCCTGGCACTCATGCCTTTGGTTAACACTCCCCCTATACCCTTGAGTATGGGCTGCACTTGTTGACTTGCTTCTAACAAATAGAATACAATGAGATGTCACTTTTGCAATGAGCTTACAAAAGACTAACATTCCTTCTTGGGCACTCTCTTGCATCACTCATTCTGAAGAAGCAGACTGCCATGTTATGAGACATGGAGAGATCCACATGGCAAGGAAATGCTATCTCCAACTAACAGGCAGTGAGATTCAAAGACCTGCCAACAGCTGAATGAGCTATCTTCTGCCAGGAGAACCTTGCGATAGCTGCCTCTGGCTGACACCTTGATTACAACCTTGTGAGGGACTCATAGGCACCCAGTCAAGCCATGCCTGGATTCCTGACCCACATAAACCATGAGATAAAGCCATTAAATTTGAGGGTAATTTGTTATGCAGCAATTTGTGCAAATAACCAATATAGGTACTATGTGATACACGGTGATTATTTATAGATGACAAAACATATCTGTCTGGCACTACTAAGACTGAAGATGAGGATTTTGTGAAACTCTGCTTGACTTTCTTTCCTTCCAGAGAATACATGTTTCCATTGCCTGGTTTGCAAACCACATGCTGTCTTTTTTTTACTTATATGGACTATGAAAAAAATCAGCATTTTTATTTACAAAATGAGATGTTTTCTTTCCAGTTGTTTTCCATTTTTCCAAAATGAGCCCTCAGTGTATGACTAAAGTTCCCCATTCTTGTAACTTCTTTTCTATTCCATACTTACAAAGTAATCAGTTAACAGGAACTCAGATTTGTTTTCTGTAGATAAAGTTGCAGTTTCTTCCACGAGAGCCAGGACATCTTTTTCGACATCAATCTTACTGATCGCACAGTGAATCTGTGTGTGGCACTGCAATGCCAAGGGAAGCAGAATAAGGTTTCTGAAGAAAGGTTTCCTGCCAGTTCTTACTAGGCATCCCAGAAATGGAGAGCTCTTCACTACTCACTGTGGTCAAGGTTTGGCCAAAAAGAGAAATATGTTGACTGTACTGGTTTAAGTTATTGCATAAAAGTTGAATTCTTTCCTTCTCCAGCTCCAGGATGCCCTGACAAGGATGGAAAATGAGGTAAGATCAGTCAGTTGTTATGCAAAACCGGGTCACCCATCATACAATAACACACTTGAAGATAGACTGAGCAAATGGTCATGATCTGTCTCCTGACTGTGTCATATCCAAATCACAGTAGAGGGAGATTTCCAGGAGAGGAATGTGAATGGTCCTATTATCCTCCTTTAAGATTGATTTAACTCACATACTTTCCCCAGGCTCTTTTGCCCCAAAAGGCATACAGGCAGATGCCATGGGTTACCTGAAGTTCCCAAAGAAGGGGGAGAGGAGGAGAGAAGGAAGCATTTGAGAGACATCTGTGAGTTCTAGAAAAAGGCAGTGAAGCCCAGTAAAACCCATCTCTATGTCTTGGAAACCCATTTAGACACTAAGTACTTTAAAATTATTTGCAGTACATACAAGGAATTCTGCCAGACTCTTCAGGAGAGCAGATGACGAGACACAAATTCTGTTTAAAGAGACTTTTTTGACAAGAGAAGAATCCCCACATCTGATCAACTCATACTTCTGACCTGAAATTAGGCCTGGGAGTCAGAATCTACTGTCTGAAGGTGGGAACATAGCCTCCTAATTTTGTTGGGATGACAACAGTTACATTATTAGACTCATGACTTTTAGTCAGGAAGGGTAAATAAGAAAGAGAAAGAAATTCTATTTGCCACGTTAGCTATTAACATTTTAGAAAAATTAATTAGATTTTTGATACTCGAGATGCTAGCTAGAGGGTTTTAGGGAGGGCAGAGAAGTTTGGCAACTAGGTGAGTGGAAGACTTGGTCAGGTGGAATAAGTGGGAGTTAGGCACAGGGATTCGTAGGCTATGTGGGGAGAGCATGAGGCTGCTGGGTATATGACAAGAGGACTCTGGACTTTGACAGAGGCGGTGAGTGTCCAAGACAAAATTTTCCCCATCATGTTTTTGTAAGGACAAGGCCTGGGCATTCATTCTTTCATACAGAGAAGGCCAGGTTGGTTACTCTCATACCCACAATCCCAACTCCTTCATCCCACAAAGTAAAAAGCCCTCGGCAATAGTCTTTCATGAAGAAGACTTTGGGCAAATTGGTGGTAATACTGCCACAGGGAGGAAGAAGGATGAATGGATCTCAAAGTCCTTGGTAGCATGAGGGAAGTGTGGGTGGAGAGAGTCCCAAAGAACATTGACTTCTCCCAGATTCTGCGGGGACCCACTTTGCTATTCCCCCGGAGTCTTGTGTTATTTCATCTATGGTATACAGGTGATCAAATTTTTAAAACATTCATCTATATTTTAAAATTGTGGTCAAATGTACACAACATAAAATGTGCCACTTTGTTTTTAAGCAAACATTTCATCGCCATTAAGTACATTCACGTTATTGTGAATCATCAACATAATCCATCTCCAAAACTTTCTATCTTGCAAAACTTGAAAGGCTCTACCCATGAAACAATAACTGACCATCTACTTCTTGTCCCCACCCAGTCCCTGGCAACCACCATTCTACTTTCTGTCTCTATAAATTTAACTACTCTGGGCACCTCAAATAGGAGGAATCATATAATATTTGTCCTTTTATGTCTAGCTATTTCACTTAGCATAGATTCTTCAAGGTTCATCCATATCATAGCATGTATCAGAATTTCTTCCTCTTTAGGCTGAATAATATTCTACTGTATGTATATGCCACACTTTATTTGTTGCTACGTAGTCATTCTGAGAGCGGAGTAAGCAAGAAGCCGGTTAGGCAGACAGGGCAAGTCTCCGGTAGGACTTCATTTGACCTGGAGAAACAGCTGCCAGTCACAGGCTCGGGCAAAAGCCACACCCATTCTGCTTCTATCGCTTTCTTTTCCTAATTGACCCTTTTTCAATCCTCTCCCCATGGGCCCTTTACAGTATCATGACACTTTTTAGTCCTTACTACTGATCAATGAGATTAGTGTATTTTCAGTCCCTACTACCAACCAATCAGCACGCCTTCTAGTACTATCTAAACTCTATATAAGCCCTGGCCTCAGCGGCCTTTTGGGCCTGGCAACCCACTTGGGGCACCCACTTGGGCCCCCTATCAGTCTCTCTCTCTCTCTCTCTCTCTCTCTCTCTCTCTCTCTCTCTCTCTCTCTCCCCCTCTCCCCCCACCCAGGGCGCCATAGGATACTAGGTCACCACGTGGGTGTCAGGGCACCACGTACACCTCAGGCAGGCAGTGCAACCCGGTGCAACTGCAAAAATTTTAACACTACTTTTAAGTAATAGTAGTAAAAGGCTCAGGCAGTAACTGTGAACTTCTATGCCAATCACGTGCAAATTTAGATTCTGTGTCACCTGTCCTGACATTTGGATTCGAAGCCTGGAGCTCTACCCTCCCCTCTCCCCACACACACACCCCACATAACTAGTTGTGTCAGAAGCTGCACAATTTTTGTAAGTCCCTGGGAGTCAGTGGCCTTTGTTTCTGCTGGAGGTCTTCTGAATCTTTCAACAAAAGTGCAGGCACCAGCCATTTGAATGCGGCCATTTGCCCTTCTGTTTCTCAGATAAAAGGATTAAAGATACCAGAGAACAGCCTGTCCAATGTGTTGCTTCTTCAAAGGGCAGATATGCCGCATAACAAATACATAAAACAAATTTTGCTCAGTTGTTTGGACCTCACATGGGACAATCTTCAAAAAGAAAAAGCCCTTACCCCATAGAAGAAGATCTAGAAATCAGTTATTCTGTGTTAGCCCGTGAGCAAAGGACAAGGGAGAAAATAAAAATCAGGTTTTAGAACACATTGCATCCCTAGTGGGCAGCTATTTCTTTACTTTGCAAATGCTGAAATACTAGCATCAATCTGAGACTAGAATAACCAGTGTCCCTTGATGGAGATGGTAATGTTTAACAGATTTTAATTACATGTCAGGGAAATCATTAAAATGATCTATGTTTGCTCATGAAAAGAGGAGGAAATAAATTCCACTGTGCAAAGGAGAAATCCACATCTCATTTAATGAACTGTTGCTTTCTATTATCTTGTTCTTTTTGTTTAAAATAGGCAATAGAAAAGCAAGATACACTGGAGGACCTCAGACTGTCCCCCTTAGCTTCCACAATAGCACATCAGAAGAAAGTGTGATCCGAGAGTTATCAAGAAGCCACAGAGTCAGAACCTGCTGGGACACAGGCATCAAGATATTTCATATTCGTCATTTGTTCTCTTCATTTCCTGCTATCCTGGTCTTCAGGTTTTCGGGAGGAGTTTGGATGGACTTTGTTTTCATTTAAATTGCTATCATAAAACTGATAAAAGAAATATGCTCTTTCTGGAGCAGAGACTTTCAAACTTTAGAATGCCTAGAAATATGCAGACCCCTTCTTATAATCATTCAGAGGTCTGATTCACCAGGTCTGGGGAGATGCTCAGGAATCTGAATTTTAACAAGCAACCCAAGTGCTTTGAGGCATTGTCCCAGGGCTGCAAAAGGCTATAAGGAAATACATTTAAAAATCATTCATAGCTGGAAGCAGTGGCTCATGCCTGTAATCTGAGCATTTTGGGAGGCAGAGGCAGAGGACTGTCTGAGCCCAGGGATTCAAGACCAGCCTGGGCAACTTGGTGAGACCTCGTCTCTACAATAAATAAATACAATTAGCCAGGATTGGTGGCACAGGCTGGTAGTTCTTGCTACGTGGAAGGCTGAGGCTATGTGGAAGGCTGAGGTGGAAGGCTCACCTGAGCCCAGTAGGTCAAGACTACAGTGGCTGTGAGCGTACCACTGTATTCCCCAACCTGGGTGAGAGAGGGAGACTCCTGACTCAAAAAAAAAGAGAAATTATTCATAATTCTTCCACCCAGAGATGACTGCTATGAACATTTTGATGTATTTATAATCAGTATGTATGTCTGATTTTATCTTTTAGTTATCTATCAAATTATTCACATTTGAAATCCTGTTTTTTTCACTTAAACATGAAGTTTCCCATGCTATTAGTCTCTGACAATATAATTTTAATTATTTCATAATGGTCCATTGTGTAGGTGTGTAGTGATTCACTTAGTCATCGCTTTAATGTTGGTCATTTGAGTTGTTTCCTCCCTTTTAATGTATTTTTAACAGAAAGCTGTGTCTCGTTTCATAGCTACTTCCTCACCATAGATTTATAGAAAGGAAAATTACCTTTTTCAACAAGAGTCCTAGGAGAAAATTAAGCCCTAAAGTCCTAAAGTACCCAGCATATGTAAAAAGTTGTCTGCATCTAGAGTGGTACTAGTCACATTCCATTCTTAAGAGAACTGAGAAAACAGTCACTGAAATCCTTTTCTGTGTTCTGTGATTTAGATGAGAAACACTGGTTGAGAAAGGGGTCATTTTTAAGGTTCTTGAAACTTATTGCAAATGGCTTTTTAAAATAATTCCCTGATTGGTACTATCAGTACCAAGCACTTAATTCTTTGTAGTTCTTGGCAGTGTAGCTATTATGTCAAAAAAACATATTGTAGATTATTTCTATCATCTGAATTGTTTCTTCTTGGAAGGTAGGATTTAGCTAGAATATAGCATGAAGTCATAAGACTAATCTTGACATGTGGTTTGTGGAATTGGTTTCATTGTTTAATAGCTGCGTTTAAGACATTATAATATTTCTAACAATATCTAGCATACTGCCTTGAACATAGTTCAATGAGTGTTCTCTGAAAGAATTTGTAAATCCAACCTGCAGAGTAAGAATGAGTAAGAGGACACTTCATAGGATCTTAAAATAAAATTTTACATTCAATTTTTCTAGAAGAGGGATGAGAGTGGAGAAAAAAAATGAAACTGAAATATCTTAATTTGTTCCACTTTCACCTCTCACACTTATAACAATATTCCTCTTTAAGTCAATTCAGTCAACTTTTGTTATATGTCTATGAATCTGACATTTTACTCTTAGTTTGCAAACATACAAAAGGTATACAATGCATAGATAATATGTGGGCCAATGGTATAGACTGAGTTTATACAAACCACGGCAGTATCAAATAAGGACCTCATTACTGGATTAAGGAGAAGTAAGGATAAGTTGACAGAGGCTGTCTCAAGTTGGGTCTAACGGGCTTAGGCTGGCCCCCAGGTGACAGAAACACTAGTGGCCTCCAGCACAGTGGTAGCAAAAATCCAGGATGCCAGAGGGATGAAAGGAAGTACTCTTCCTCAAGGAGATGTGCCTTTGAGTAGATACTCCATGAGGCTTAGATTCTAATTTGAAAATAAAAACAAGAATTAAGAACCTAGGTCTTTTTTTTTTTTTGAGTTGGAGTCTCACTTCTTTGCCCAGGCTGGAGTGCAGTGGCATGCATGCCCACAGTCACTCCAGCATCGAACTGGGTTCCAGGACCCTTCCGCCTCAGCCTTCCAAGTAGCCGGAACTACCAACTCACGTTACCACGCCTGGCTATTTTTTATTTTATTGTAGAGACGAGGTCTCGCCAAGTTGCCCGGCCTGGTCTCGAACCCACGGGCTCAAGCAATCCATTCGTCTCAGCCTCCCAAAGTGTTGGGATTACAGGCTGAGCCACCGAGCCCGATCGGTCTTAAATATTTTTAAAGGTCAAGTTGAAAGGAAATCTTAAGATGTAAATGGATGCCTATCTTATTACCATCAGGAAGACTCTGTAAGGAGAGAAGATACTTTTTATGATGCTTTAATATAAAAATTAGGACTGCTGGAAGGGGAGGGGTTGCTGGAGGGGGGGGGTTGCTAGAAGGGGAATATACAGAAGGACCTTAGCAGGAGAAAAGGTAACTGAGGTAAAGAAAGGAGAAACCTAGTAAGAGCCTCTGATTGTGAGGATAGTAATAGCCACACCTAATATACATTGAAGGCCAGATAGTCATCAGCTATACTAGCTAAAAACCATTATCTCCCATTGCTGTGATATAGGTGAGGAGGATGGAGACACTGACACTAAATATTTTTCTCATAGCCCTTGAGGAGGGCCTGGAAGATGGAGTGAGAGCAGAATGTCACTCTCATCTCCCAACAGGACCATCAAGGAAACCGGCCTTGGTGGAAAGGCAATAGCATCATTGGAAAGTGCTAGGAGGCGAGACAACATCAGAGCCATCCCTGGACTTTTCTCCTCACTTCCATCTAAAACCTATTCAGTTGAAGTAACAGGTGTGCCAGGAGCCTATGTTCCAAGGTGTAAACTCGAGTTTCTTCTCATTTCTTCCTCTCTTTGATCCAAGTTTTCTTCACTTTTTTATTGTTTTGTAGAGATGAGCTCTCGCAATGTGGCCCAGGCTGGTTTTGAGCTCCTGGCCTAAGGGATCCTCTAGCCTCTGCCTCCCAAAGTGCTGAGATTACAGGCATGAGCCACCGTGCTCGGCCCCAAGTTTCTCCTCTCCCCTTTCTTCTCTAACTCATCATCTACCCCACTCTGAAAGTGGTTGAGCTGCAAGAGACTTAATAGAACCCTCTGGTTCTGCTTGCTGGTTAGCCTCCCCTCTCCCAGTTCTGACTGAGACAGGAGTATAGTGCAGAGACCTAGGCTGAATCCCAAAACCATCTCGGGCAAGTTACTTCATCTCTCCAGCCTCAATTTCCTCAACTATAAATTGGGACTAAAATGATCACCTTCCTCACAATGTTGTTGTGATAAACACAAAATATGATACACTTGAAAGTACTTAGCACATCCTGAAAAAGAGCACATCAATCAACAAGCAATTGTCACCTGTTAGCCATTCGCTTACTTCTTTTTTTTCAATTCTATCTGCTACAGGTGTGTGCTACCTATTGTAGAGATGAGGTCTCACCAAGTTATCCAGGCTGTTCTCGAACCCATGGGCTCAGGCTATCCTCTCACCTTGACCTCTCAAAGTGTTGGGATTACAGACTTGAGTCAAAATGCCTGGCCTACATAGAGTTTTAATTAACTTGTAATTGCTGGCTATTAGTCCACTTTCCAAGTTAGAGAACATTTAAGAGTCATTCTTCTCTTGATGGATATGAAGATTGTGTATGATTTTTCTCACCATGCAATAATAAACAATTCCATAATAAATATTCTTGGAGTACGGATTTTGGGGGGATATAGGCCTAAAAGAGGAACTGCTCTGTTGTGGGTTTATGCACATTTCAGTTTTATTAGATACCATTAAATTATTCCCACTACAGGGTACAAGTATTCTTGTCTCCTAACATCCTTGTGAACACTTGATATTGTCACTTACTAATTTTTACCAAATGGTTGAGCCTCTTTTCATATATTTATTGGTGATTTTGATTTCCCCTTCCATGATGTGCTTGTTCACACCTTTTGTCTATTTTAATCAGATGATTTGCCACCATTCCTTATTCTTGTGTCTATTTTTGTTACTAAGGTGTGCATATCAGGAGTACTGAGATGTATTTTACTCATTACTATATTCCTCCAGTGCTGAGCACAATGACCGACATCATAAGTCATCACTGTAAGAATCAACTCTCATGCCTAAAACTCATTTTTTAGCACCTAAGACCCAAGCTATAATTTACACTTTACTGTGACAGAACTTTTTGAAGTTAGCGGAGTGCTACTGTGTCCACTGAGAATTAGTAGCAAAAACTCTGGCCAATGGCATTCAATAAATTTTCATTGGTAATTGTATCTATGGAGAAATTGAAACAATGAGAAGAAATGTGGTTTATCTGGAGTTACAATGTGAGTGAAAGTCATAGTTAAGACAGACAGCAGGTCTTGTAACTGTAGATTTTCAGGCTCCATTTATAAACTCCCACAAAGCTCCACAGAAGAAGAAAAAATGTGAATGCGTAACTTACTTGGTAGCAGTTTTCTAGTGTGTTTTCCCATTTTAGTCTGGTAGAACAGCCCGCCATGTTTTTTTGGTAGTAGTGTTCTTCTTCTTTTTCCAACTTCTCAGCCGATTTTTTCAGTTTATTGAGGAGCTAAAGTAAAATATCAGTGTCATGTATTCATCAGCACATTTATGAAAGTCCTTCTGGATATGTCTCTCATCTCTCACCTAGAGTCATAAACAGTAACTGTAGTTGACAAAACCAAAGATCTTATTCAGAAAACAAGGGATGGCAGAGCCAGAAGGAAACCTAATAGCTTTTCAGTATGATCCCTTCAATTTTACAAATGAGGAGATTTAGGTCTTTAAATACAAGGTGATTTGTCTATATCCATGCAGTCGAGGAGAAGGTCAAACATCAGAGCATTTGAGAATTGACGGTGTAAGGTTAAGACTGCAATTGACCAGTGAATCCTTTAGTCTTGCCTGGTAAATCCTCTGGGATCCTGTATTTCTTACCAGAACAGACTGAGATCTGTGGAATCATATAATTTTTAGAACTAATTTTTAGAATGAGGCTGGCTACCATCCTTCCTGACAATCTTACTTTGCTTTCACTATATTAACCCAGCAATAGAGTTCTGGAATCAGCCTCCCAGGATAAGAGTCCTGGTCTGGCTGCAGGCAAGTTACTTAACCTTCATCAACCACGGTTTTCTCATCTCTGTCATGGGGATATGTAATTAATACATACGGGTTGATTTGAGAATTTAGACTGGTGTTGAGACTCAGAAAACGATATCCCAAAATGAAGGCCTCAGAAACAAAGTTTTTCCTCTGACCTTCTCATATCTCTCTGTCCCATTTTCTCCCGAGTCTAGCCATAGAAACTAGAAACTCTCTTCCCCAAGGTGAGTCATAAAAACCAGAATCCCTTTTCTCCAAAGCCAGCCATAAGACCAAAAAATGGTACTCTCACTTTCCCCCTTACCTTTCTGTGTAAAAACTGACCATAAAGAAATGATCTGATCTACCGGTTTGACTACAGGTCATAAGACCCCCATTCCAGAGAGGGTCCTGCCCACACCCAGAAGGAAGGGACACTACACAGAGAGACTAAGAGCAATCTAGGCTTCCCCACTCAGTCTATTCACATCAGATCACCTCCTTTTGTCCAATCATATTTCTACATGACTAAGCAAAGCCTGGCACATGGCTCACATTTATAATCCCAGCATTTTGCGAGGCTGAGGTGAGAGGATTGCCTGAGCCCAAAGGTTTGAGACTAGCCTGGGCAACTTGGTGAGACCTCATCTCTACAATAAATAAAAAAATTAGCCGGGTGTGGTAGCACGTGCCTGTAGTTCCAGCTACTTGGAAGGCTGAGGTGGAAGGATAACCTGAGCCCAGCAGGTCGAGGCTATGGTGGCCATGAGCATGCCACTGCACTCTAGCCTGGGTGACAGAGTGAGACTTCAAATCAAAAAATAAATAAACGTAAGCATACACATAGACCATTTCCCCTGTATTTTTGGGTCTTTGTTCTTAAGGCTCCCATGCCACGTAAAACTATGATCAAATAAATGTGTGTGCCTTTCCTCTTATTAATGTGGCTCTTGTCGGTGATTTTCAGCAAGCCTCCAGAGGGTGAAGGGCAGGTTTTCCTTTAGCTCTGACACAGGTAATGCAGGCAAGGCAGGTGGCACACTGTTTAACACCTGGTATGCACTCAAAGGTCGGTGAGTATAATTATTACAAGTGGAAGGCCTGAGACACACTGCGAGTTATGGCCAGCTTGACAGACGGATTTCACTCACCCTGCTCCCCATGATCTGCTCCCTCACAAAGAACCCCCTCTTGCTAATCACCAAAATTTGCCATTCTGATTGTTAAATTTTCTGGTAAATCAAAGCACAATAATTCAATACCCCCTGGGCCAAGGTAGCTGAAATTGCATCTCAAAATACCCAGACAAATAATTTCACATTTCTGGGAAATGACGAAGTTGGATTCCATGAATGATCCCCAACTTTAGTATGTCTAGAAATGACCTGGAGTTCTTATAAAATTGTGAATTTCAGAGATCTGCAAATAGCAATACTGATTCCATAGCTCTGTAACAGATTGGGAAATCTGAAATTTTGATTGCCTCTTCAGATGATTCCAATGAAAATGGTCTTCAAAGTACTCTTTAGGGAACATTAAGGACCCTCCTGACTTAACCAGTTAAGGATTTCAAGAACTGAGACAAAAACTTTCAAGATTGAGCCTCTTTACATTTAAGGACATTTTGACTAACATTACAATAATGAAGAATACTCATCCAAGATGCTGAATATTAACATCACTCACTTTATTATTCCACTTGATATGCTAGCTATTCAACTGTCCCCAGCTCTGATGTATGACCTACTCAGGGCACACTTGGTTTTGTACGTCAGGTGTAATGAACCACATCTATCTGTAGAAACATGAGCTTGTGAATTTTAACCTGATAATGATACAGAGAAAGGATTCAAAGAGTGCCATAGTTATGTTTTGCTAAATCATTGTCCTTAGATTCTTAAGAATGCTCAGACCTCCAGGAACAAGAACTGAATCCTTTTTGAGATAACAATTCATTTTCATCAGTCTACACTATAAAGCCATTGACTAGAAACTTCTTTCAGCAAATTTATAGCAAATAGTCCCAAACAGATAGATATTCAAGAAGAATATAGACTCCTACGTTCTTATTGAAAAACTTCTCAGAGAACTTTGCTAAAATTTGTCAAAGATGTAGTTCTTTTTCTTTCTCCTTTCCTTTCTCATTCATTTGTTCACCAGACATGGAATTTCTTTGATGTGTCTTGTACAAGACTTTGAGAATAGAAAAGGGAACAAGAAAGACACTCTCTTCAGTCAGGGACCCCTCAGACCATTACTATCCTATGAGCCAGATCCCAGGATGATCATGTTACATAGTTATCACTGGGAATCAAGTGAGACACCTAAACTAGCCTTGGAATTAAAATGACATTTAAGCTATGAGTTGGCACATAGTAGGTGCTCAAAAAAATGATCACAATATAAATAAACCTGAAATGAAAGTAGGAATTGGTGAGGTACAATACATGGCAGGATACAGAAAACATTTTTTCGGTGAGGCTGGACCATACAGTTTGTGAGGAAGAATAGTGAGAAATGATGTTGAAAAGATAGGCAAGGATCAAGTGTGGAAGCGTCTTGATGGCCACATAAAGGATTGTACTTTATTCTGAGGTCACTGGGAAGACTTTGAAGGATTTTAAAAGGGGAATGATATGCTCAGATTCGATTTTTGAAAAATTCAGTTTGGCTTGTTCATGAGGAATACATAGGAGCAGACAACACTGAGAGCTAAAAGAGCAATTTGTTAGTTACAATAAGCCAGGCAAAAGATGGTGGTGGCCTGCAGGACGGAATTGGCGGTGGAGATAGATACAAGAAAACACATACAAGAGCTATTTGACTTAAGAATTAGAATTGGGAGTATGTGGTGAGTGGCGATTTTCAGACATAGGGAACAGGAATAAAGATTATCTTTGGTCAAGAGAAGTGGTGGGTCTGATTTTGGATATTGAGTCTGAGATGCCAGCAAGTAGTTTAGAGACTGGTTTGGGCCATATTTATATGTCCCAATGGACATATAAGTATTGTCAGAATGGATATGGTAGTTGAAGCCTTGAGAATATACTTATTGAGTACCTATTACTTGTTGAGTACCAGATATTGAGAGTACTATGCTGTACACTTGATACAGTTTGGATTGTTTTTCTCTTCAAATCTCACGTTGAAATGTGACTCTAGCCAGGTGTGATGGCTCACACTATAATCTCGGCACTTTGGGAGGCAGAGGCAAGAGGATGGCCTGAGTCCAGGGGTTCGAGACCAGCCTGGGCAACTTGGCAAGCCTTCGACTCTACAATAAAATTTTTTTTAAAATGTGCCCCAATGTTGGAGATGGAGCCTAATGGGAGGTGACTGGATCATGGGGGCAGATTCCTCATGAATGGCTTGGTGTAGCCCTCTTGGTAATAAGTGAGTTCTCACTCTATTAGTTCATCATGCCGGTTGTTTAAAAGAGCTTGGCACATCCCTTCTCTCTCTTGCTGTTCTGTCTCACCATGTGACATACCTGCTCCCTCTTCACCTTCCACAATGATTAGAAGTTTTCTAAGTCCTCAGCAGAAGCAGATACCAGCAGTATGCTTCTTGTGGAGCATGTAGAACCATGAGACAAAATAAACCTCTCTTCTTTATAAATTACCAAGTCTCAGATATTTCTTTATAGCAATGCAAAACAGACTAATACCACACTTTATGGTGAATAAAACAGAAATTCAGAAGATAAATCTTCAGAACTGCAATACATAAAGGTCAGGCAGGAAAAGGAGTCCATAAAGGAATCTAAGAAAACATTTACAGAAAGTAAGAGGAAAACTAGTGAGGTGTTACTAAAGCTAAAGGAAGAGAAAGGGGAAATAAACAATGCTTAACACTTAGAAGATGTTGACTAATCTAAGAACTGGAAAGTATTTGTTGGCTTTAAGACAAAGAAGACATTGTTTTCAATGGCAAGAACAGTGGAATGGGGTGAAGCTTGATTGGGGTTGTTTGAGGAGTGAACAGGAGATGAGGAAGTGAAGACAGGGCATAGACAAAGACAACCCTTTCACTATAACTGATTATAAAAAGAAAGAGACATGACAATATCTGGAGAGGAACCAGTGACACCATAAAAAATGTCTCCCTGATTCTCCCTTCTCCCCCAAGATGGGGCAGTGCAATGGACTGAACGTCCATGTCCCCTCAAAATTCTTATGTTGAAATCCTAACTTCCAAGGTGATGGTATTAGGATGAGAGACCTCTGGGAGGTAATTAGATAATGAGTGTGAAGCCCTCATGAATGGGATTAGTGACCTTATAAAAGAGACCCCAAAGAGTTTCCTTGTTCTGTTTTACCATGTGAGGATACAACAAGAAATTGCCAGCCTGTAAAACAGAAGAGAGGCCTCACCAGATGGCACCATGATCTCAGACTTCCAGCCTCTAGAACTGTGAGAGGTAAATGTATGGTGTTGAAGCCACCCTGTCTGTGGTACTTGGTTATAACAACATGAACTGACTGAAACAGGCGGAGTTGAAAGGCCGATGGGAAGAAATCATTAGAGAGGAGACTGCTCAAGATCTGAGACAGAGTGAGATCATCATAGGAGGACCTCTGGGAGGCAGGATGGGACGGGATCCGATCACAGGATGAAGAACTCGCCTCTCTGTTGCAGAAATGTACATGCTATTACTTTAGTAGGCAGGTGGCTGTGCTGTCTGCCAGGAGTGGGTGGATAGAGGTGTGAGGAGAGTGGAGATTTAGATTAGCTTCCCGTGAGAATAGGGACTGTTGGGCAGGAAACCAGGAAGGATTGCTGAGCAGCACAGAGCTTCAGCTCAGGCTGAGGATCATGGGTGTTTCTATGTGAAATGTCAAAATGAATGTCACCTTAGGTATTTAGCTTTAGGGCTACCAAAACCAAAAAATCCTGCCAGATTAAGTAGAGAAGATGGCATGGGTGTGTGACCATCAAGGCTATGGTTTTAGGACCAGCTTGCTGGAGGTGGGACTAGGGAGGAGTATGGACTTTGACCTTCCAGGGACGCTGCTGCTTAGGAGAGGGAGAGGAAATTCACCACTTAGCTACCATGTTTTTTTCTCTGTTCTTGTTACATCAGTAAGAATAGCTTTTAATGAGGGCTCAGAATGCCCAGGAAGGTCCCTGTGCGTAGTATTTTAGCACACTGCAGGTTCGCCTCATTAGAAGCTGCCTCATTATCCAATACTTGTCATGATTATTTCAAACTGTGAAAACTGGCAAGTGAAGAAAAAACCTTGTAAAATCTTGCTAACAATGAATTTAAGTTATTCAATGAATAGTTTCTTCAGATGAAGCGAGAAAGGTACTTGCAATGACAAATTTCTTCTCCTTTTCAGAATGTTTGGGCTTTCAGTGGTGCTGCCTGCATTTCCTTAGGGAGACTCCTTCTTTTGGAGAAGATATTGACTATTTCTATTTAATTTTTTTTCTTTTTTCCTTCCTTATGCTACCTTATCTAAGAGATATGGACTATTTTAAAGGTTTCCAATCTGGAGCACATAAAACAAGAGGTGTGCAAGATAATCTATAGGTGTGTGGGCAGAAGATATTTGATTTTATTCCTGTACCCCAACATTATTTGTGCTCATTTTTTCCTCAAAACAGTTATCAGACTTACTGCTATTTAAGATATGAGTGCACACTGGGGCTCACACACAGACTGTTGTGGATTCTGAAGTGGCCCAGGGAAAGTGGGGAGGTTCTGTGACCTGAGAGGCTGCTGTGGGCACTCACACTGTGTTCACTTCCAGCCTCTGGGACGCATGACCATTGGCTTTACAGACTTATTACATAGCTCCAATTAGGTTAGCATGCACAAAATGCACGAGTATCTTTAAAAGATTCCTACCAAGAACCTGTAGATTGATGTTAGTACTAACAATATAAACACAAGGAAACCACAAAAATGTGAGAGCTGATTCTTTCTCATGCTTCTGGCTACAAGTGTGTCATCACCCACATAAAAAGGCAAGAACTGATACGAGTTCTGACAAAATACAAAATGATCAAGAGGACTATTAGAAAGGCCTACCATCTAGGATCTATAAGAAATTCAAATGCGCCAAAAGGAAAAAAAAGCCCCACTAAAAAGTGGGCAAAAGACATGAATAGACACTTCTGAAAAAAGATTTACAGGCAGCCAACAGACATGAAAAAGTGCTCAGTCTCACTCATCATCAGAGAAATACAAATCAAAACCACATTGAAATACCACCTAACCTCAGTAAGAATGACCATCATTAATAAAACAACCAACAACAGATGCTGGCGAGGATGGGGAGAAAAAGGAGCGCTTCTACACTGCTGGTGGGAATGCAAACTAGTGCAACCTTTTTGGAAGACAGTGTGGCGATTTCTGAAAGAACTAGAAACTGACCTTCCATATGATCCAGCACTTCCCCTATTGGGAATATACCCAGAGGAACTCAAATCATTCTACAAAAAAGATACCTGCACACGTTTGTTTGTTGCAGCTCTATTCACAATAGCAAAAACATGGAACCAACCATGCTGCCCATCAAAGCTGGACTGGATTAAAAAAATGTGGTACATATATACAACAGAATATTATGCAGCCATAAAGAAGGACAAACAAACGGACTTTGCGGTAACTTGGATGGATTTAGAGTTGATCATACTCAGTGATCTATCACAGAAACAAAGAACAGAGTATATATGTTCTCACTCATAAGGAGACCTTAACCATTTATAATATTACAAGAAAGGGATTGGCAGTAGTGGGAAATTGTCGGGGGAGAAGGTATGGGATTGGCAGTTGAAGGAAACTGCTAGGGGAGGGAGGGGCATACCTCATCAACAAGGGTACCTGCATAATCAATGTTTGCATACCTAACGTGAATTGTACCCCACATCATTATTCTTTAAAAAAAGGAAAGAAATGCATGTTTATATTCACTATGGCTAAGGCTGAACCTTGTTCCAAGTGCACATTTTGTCTGGAAACAATACTTAAAGGTTATATGAAGAGACCATGATTAGCTAATTATTTTAAATATTATTTCATCTTTATCTCATCCTGCAAACACATCTACTTTTTAATGCTTTATAATGTTCATAACATATTCATATACTACATAAAGTACTACATATAACCTATGACATTTTTTCTTTTTGAGTTGGAGTCTCACTCTGTCGCCCAGACTGGAGTGCAGTGGCCGCTCCCGGCCACCGCAGCCTCG